GGCGGGTTCCGCGGTGTCTGGGGGTCGCTGCACGGGCGTCAGGTAGATCTCCTCCGTGGCCTCCAGCCGCACATCGGCCTGGTAGTGGATTCGGTCCCGATGGGAGTGGCCCAGACCACCAGGCGTGGCGGTAGGGGGCCCTCCCAGAGGTGCCATCTGGGTGGCAGCGCTGCGGCGACAAGGGCTGTCGGTGGAGGTGCCGCAGTCCTTGGTGGGCAGGGGGCTGCCCTGGGGTGGCAGCTCATCGCTCAGGCAGATGTGCTCATGGGGTGGTGTCTGCTCCCCTGGAGGAGACCAGGCAGGCCAGGGTGAAGGGGGGTCCCCAGTCAGTCTCCCGGTCACCTCCCTGTTGCCCCAGCATGTCCACCCAGAGGCCAAACGAGACAGGCCCTGGGCAGGGAGCAGGCAACTTGCTCACAGCACAGCTGCCCTTCGGCCCTAGCTGGGCTGGTGTCAGGTGCAGGGTACCAGTGGGTACCTGACCTCCACTGGGCAAGTGGAGGCCGCAGCGCTGGCTCTCAGCACCAGGGGCCAAGCACAGCAGGCTGAGGCCCAGCCCAGGGAGGAGAAGGGTCTAGGCTTACCTGTCTTGAGGGGTGAGGATGATCGAGACACCCGATCCTGCCAACTGTGCTTTTTGCCAAGAGAATTATTATTCAGCGTGTCCTGTGCAGGGGACAAAAGGCCCTTGTGAAGATGCGGCCAGCAGTGCCCGGCACAGGGAGGCCCTGGCCCTGCCCCCATCGGGACATCCCGAGGCCTGGGCCTCACCCACCCGGCTTCTGCTCGCCAAGGCCTCACTCCCAACCTCCCAGAGCAGGTGCACGGGTGGCAGGTCACAGCCTCCCTCCTGGCTCGGGGCAGCTGGCTGGCCCTCAGAGAATGTACTTAGGACCTCAGCAAAGGGTGGTGCTGACCAAAGTGTGTGCTGATGGGGTAGCGGGAGCCCTCTGGGGACACACAGAACCACAGTCCCAGACATCAGGGAGTAGTGGAAGATGCTCAAATCCAGCCCAGGGAAGGACAGAGAGACTCCCTGCCCTGGAGCCCAGGAAGCTGTGGCCCAGAAAGGGCCAGTGACACTGGCAGAGGCTGAAAAAGCCTAAAGAAGGTCTCCCAGCAGCTGACTGGGAGGGGGCTTAGGATGAGTCAAAGCGATGACTTCATACCACACCCCACCCCCAGTCACACATGATGGGGATGACATGTAGTCGTCAGCAGCCCTCCTTCCTATCCCATATCCGCAATCCCCTGGGACCCCTCCAGGGCGCCCACGTACAAGGCTCCCTGCACAGGACTTGGGCTCCCTCAGCTGGGGACACCCTTACAAGCCCTCACATTTTTGTTGGGCTGCCAAAAGCCATGCCAGGAATCTGGGAGAAGGACCAACCCTTTCCTGCAGCCCCGCACCGTCACCAGCCCACCTCCCCGGAGGTCTCTGTACTTTTCCAGGCTGGGCCTGGAAGACAGAGGGCCACAGCCGGCCCTCACCATGCTATTCAATGCTGCTTGGCATCTAGCCACCGGCCAGGGGCCCTAGGTCCCCAACTCCGCCCAGCAGCTCCATCCCCCTCCTCGCCTCTGCCTTCTGGAATTCCCAGCTGCACAGCTACCAAGCTGGCTGCTGCCCCTGAGAGCCCCAGCCCCACATCCCCTAGGCTTCCTCTTGCTCCAGCCCTCGCTGGAGTCTCATCACCAGAAAGAAACCCTGTCCTAGCCAAGGATTCCAAACTGCTTTGGAACCCTCAAAGCCTGTTCTCTGGACCCCTAACTTCTCTCCTTGCTCATTCCTTCCTGGTCCCTGGCAGCCCCTTCACTCCTTGCACCCCTTCCCAAGGCTCCAGATCCAGCCAGCCTGACCCCGGCCTCGGAGACACCTCTCCAGGGCTGAGGACCTGTGCCCAGGGACCCTCACTGCAACCCCACCCCGCGCTCGGCTCGGGGCCCCGCCCCCGCCCCGCCCCCACCGC